AGAGCGAGTGGGCGATCCCATGGCCCAGACCGGAAGCTGTAGTTTAGAGGATTGGGGGACGGAGGGTTGGGGGGGAGGAGGGGAGAGGGGGGGGTTGTGCAGGGATGAGGAAAGGCAAGGCGGGGTAGTGTGAGGAAGGTGGCAGGAGCCTAAGGTGCGATGGCGGGTGAAGAGACGCTTTTGAGTCGACTCAAAAATCGCCTCATCACACGCGGAAAGGCAAGGCGGGGTAGTGTGAGGAAGGTGGCAGGAGCCTAAGGTGCGACTTTTGAGGCGCCTCAAAAGGTGGCAGGGGCCTAAGGTGCGATGGCGGGTGAAGAGACGCTGAGGAAGAGGAAGAGGGAAGGATTGAGCGATCCCATGGCCCAGCTGTAGAATAACGGAAGGGTAGGGGGGCAGAGGGTGGTTTGCTGCAAGGATGAGTGTAGACAAGGTGGGGATACTGCTGAGGAAGAGGAGGAGGGGGTGAGTGATCTCATGCCTAGAACAGTAGTCGTAGAAGATGGGGGACAGGGAGGTGGGGTGTACTTGCTTAGATGATACTTACAGAGAGAAAGATGGAAGGTGTTGAGAGGGGAGAGCGGGGGCAGGCGTCTTGCAGTGGCTATGGTGTTCAGACCGCGCTCTAGGCGACTGGATGGGGTGGGGGGGACAAAGGGAGGAAGAATTAGGGAGGAGGAAAGCGAGGGGACATTGACGGATCACAACAGGTGTCTTGCAGCAGCTATGGCGTCTAGAGCGCTCTCCAGACGACTGGGTGGGGTGGGGGGAACAAAGGGAAGGTAAAAAAGGAGGAAGAAGAAGGGAGGAGGCAAGGAGAAAGGGTCATTGACAAATCACAACAGGTGTCTCACAGTGGTTATGTCGTTTAATTTAGACCACGTTTTAAGCGACTGGGGGTAGGGGAAAACAAAGGGACGGAAAGAAGGGAGGAAGTGAAAGGGAGGAAGGAAGGAATTGGGGGAACAAAGAAGGGAAAGCGGAGTGTCAAAGGAAGATGCCTACAAGGGAATGCTTGGAAGAGGGTGCATACGGCAGAATGCTCTTGAGCAGCGACGGCAGAGAGGATGAGGAGGAAGAGGAAGGAGCGGAAACAGAAGCATCGGAAACAGGGGATTGACTTAAGGGAGGCGCGGGCTAACAAGAGTATTTGGCAGAGCAGCTGGCGGGAGACCTCTTGACCAGCAACAGCAGAGAGGATGAGGAGTAGGAGGAAAAAGAAGTGGGAAGTGCGGGTGCTTACACCAATATACCTACAAGAGTATTTGACAGAGCAGCTGTCGTGAGACCTCTTGGGCAGCGACAGCAGAGAGGATGAGGAGGAGGAGGAAGAAGTCGGAGAGAGCAGTGAGGGCGATGAAGGGACGCCAAAAGAAGGCGATTGCGAGGAGGGTGATGAGCCAATAGAAGGTGCTGTTGGTGGGGGGGAGGGAAGAATGGGGAGAGAAATGGAAGAGTGGAGGGAATACTCAAAGCGAGCAGTGAGGGCGATGAAAGGACCCCAGAGCAAGGCGATTGCGAGGAGAGTGATGAGCCAATAGAAGGTGCTGTTGGTTGGGGAGGAAGGAGAGGAGGTTAGGAGGGGGAGGGGATGGAGAAAAGGGAGGATACGCTCGGAGAAAGGAGTGGGGTTAATGGAGGGAAGAAAGGTAGGGAGAGGCGAGGGAAAGGGGAGGGGGGGGGAAAGCGCAAAGTGTGGTGTGGAGGGATGGGGGGTGGATTCGAAGACGGGAGGATGAGGTGAGACAAAATGGGGAGCAGAAAACGAGCCGTTTCGAGCTGCTTCGAGGAACGAGACCAGAAAAAGAAGGGGAGACGACACCCTGCTGGTTAGTGGCCACAATCCGGCAATTCATTAAATGCTATATGATGCTAAAAACATGTGACTTGCCGTGACTGTAAACACCTGGTGAGAGTAACGAGCGATTGTTGAACGAGAGCGACTGTAAGCACCTGGTGAGAGTAACGAGCGAGAGGAACGCCTGTCGCGACACGGTAACGGCGATCACGGCAATGGCCGGTCCGAAGCCAATCAGAAACGCGCCGCAAAACGCGGCGAATGTCATCTCGGCCGACCAATCGTCGGTCGAGGATAGGCTGAGACGATTCTAAAGTTCCAACTAACCCATATGGCTGATAGATTTTACTTGCCGAATAACACTTCTGTGATGAAAATTCGTTTCGCCTGATGGTTTCTGGATGTAAATCGCCTGATAACTCCAGATTCCGGAGCCTGGAAGTACAGGGCGGGTCCAGCACGTACATTTAGGGCGGGTCCAGCACGTACATTTAGGGCGGGTCCAGCACGTACGTATTCCGTACATTACAGTTCATCCAGTGCGGTAATCTGTATTGCGTCACGGTTCGGAACGGTGAAATTTTATTACCATTGTGCACCGTTTGATATCTTTTGAAACCACAACAAATAAACTGCATAGTACCTGTATATGTACGCGCTGGACCCGCCCTTACAGCTCTTGTACAGTTCATCCTCGTGGTTTAAGACGATATCAGGCGGCGCACAGCGGTTCTCAATCTTCACCGCTTTGCACCGTGACACATGACGAATAACTGCACATAATGAACTGAACCAGCTGAACATGGAAGCTGCGTTCGCAATGTTACCGTCGAGCGACAACATCCACTCCGGGAGTCGATCCTTGCTGATCAGGGTCGCTTCTTGTGTCGACCGTGTGTCAGAATTTCTTTTCTCGTTCATTCACAGGTTCACGCCCCCTGGAAAGGGCCGGGATTCGGATTTCTGGTAAATCGATAAGCCTACAAAAGCGTGCATTAGACTCTTTTTGAGTAGTTAAATCTCTAATCTAAAAACGTAAAAGTAAAGGTAGGCATTTCCTCCCTAAATCCCTAAGCCTCTGGAAGCACTTTGCCTCAATTATCACAAATCCGTGGCCACTGCGAAGTGTACACCTATTTCCAGCTTTTGCAAGGATGCCATTTCATTTATGCATCCCTCCATCTAGAAGTTTAGAACCACAGCACACCACACCCTGTGCATCCTTCATTGCTCGCTATACATAGCAGACTGCTCCATCACTGTAGCTTCCCGCTGGTTACCGCCCGTAACACTAGCAGCACCAGCAGCAGGGGCGAGGGCTTCAGCAGGCAGCAGGTCGCACTGAGCCACGTGCTGCAGCAGCTGATCCGCTAGGACTAAGGCAACCATCGCTTCCACCATTGGGACAGCTGGAGAGAGGTGAGTGGGGGAGAACAGAACACGAGCACAAGGGAAAAAAACACTTGGGAGGTGAGCAGGTCGCACTGAGCCACGTGCTGCAGCAGCTGGTCAGCCAGAACTAAGGCAACCATCGCTTCAACCATTGGGACAGCTGAATTGACAGGGGGAGGAAAGGAGGGAAGGAGAGGAGAAGGAAAGGAGCTGAGTGGTAACCATGAGCAGGCAGCAGGTCGCACTGAGCCACGTGCTGCAGCAGCTGATCCGCCAGCACCGCTACCATTGCTTTGACCATGGGGACCGCTGGAGAGAGGGACGTAAGGAAGGGAAGAGCAGAAGAGGAAGAGGGGCGAAGGAAGATGAAAAGAACAAAAACGAATACCCTGGGAGGCAAGCGCATATTGCAAGTGAATACCACGTGCCATGGTCGTTGATCCATAGTCGTCTTGATTCGATTTGATTTGATTTGATTTGATAGCGCAATGGCTACAACCTCGGCCAGACCTAACAGCCCGATTACCACAACCCACCTCTGGGCACCGCAACCCACCTCTGGGCACCACACAGGGATCATGCCGGCCACGCGCCTTAAGCTCTGTCTCCACGCCCTCGCGAGTCACCGTGCGCTGACTCCTCTGTTGACGTGCAGAGAGAGGCAAAGTGGGGAAAGAGGAAGAAAGTTGATCAGGCAAGAAGCCTTATGCTTTGGGGGTTAGCATAGTGAACCCGCATGCCTTGAGCTCTGTATGTTTTTTGAGAATTCTCAAGAAACATACACCACATGCCTTGAGCTCTGTCTCCACACCCTCACGAGTCACCGTGCGCTGACTCCTCTGTTTAGGTGCGAAGGAGGGGAAAAGGGGGAAATGATGAACGGAAGTTTTTGAGAAGCCTTTTTCTTTGGGGGTCAGCATAGTGAGTGTCCACGCCGTCACAAGTCAGAGTCTTGAAAATCTGAGGCATCACGAGTTGTTGTTCGGGATCCATTCCTGAATGCCCCTGCATGCTCAGTTGGTGCTTGCACAAGTGTGCAAGAGTCAAGAAAGCATGATCCAGTCCAGACTCACCGTGATGGTGGAAGTGGGCTTGAACACCACGCGCACCACAATGTTCTCCCCGTTCGAGATGCCCCCCTGAATGGCCCCCTGAATGGCCCCCTGAATGGCCCCCTGAATGCCCCCCTGGATGCCTACACTGTTGTACCAGCCTGGCACTGAATGCAATTCAACACACACATACCGGGATGGTGGAAGTAGGCTTGAACGCCACGCGCACCACAATGTTCTCCCCATTCGAGATGCCCCCCTGAATGCCCCCTTAGTGGCGAGCGGCTGAGTGGAGAAAGACGCACGCGTCCTGCTGCGTCCTGCGTCTGGACGCTGCGTCCAGACGCAGAGACGCAAGACGCGCGTCCAGACGCAGGACGCACACTGAATATTTTTTCCGGGCTGACCGGAAAAAAAAATTGTTGCCCCAGCGCGAAATTGACCCTAACGATTTCGACGCGACTGTCAATTTCGCGTCATGTCGACCCCCCCTAACCCATTTCGACCATCAAAAACACCCTAGAGGGTTTACCAAGACAATTCTCCTTCGTAAACCCTAAACCCTGGAAATTTGAAGAGGACGATTTTGCCTCAAATGTGTGCATCTTCCTTCCCCCCCCCCCCCCCCTTCCCATACCCTACAACATCATTTTTCGGCTGCCCGGGGGTTTTTTTTGCCCTGCCTGGGCATGCGTCTTTTCATGCGTCCTAAAGGCCCTCCTCTAGCGTCCTGCGTCTAAGATGCTGCGTCTGGACGCATGCGTCCTAGACGCAGGACGCGTCTTTCTCCACCCAGGCGAGCGGTTGGTGGGTTGTTCCTCACACATGCACACACTCGACAACCAGGATCAACCTGAGTATCCAACTAGCAGTTATGCTGCACGAAAGACTCACCGTGATGGTGGAAGTAGGCTTGAACGCCACGCGCACCACAATGTTCTCCCCGTTCGAGATGCCCCCCTGAATGCCCCCCGAGCGGTTGGTGCGAGTGCGAATGGCACCATCGGGGGCAACATAAAACTCGTCATTGTGCTCGCTTCCCAACATGCGCGTGCCTGCAGGAATGGGAGGGAGAGGGGGGAGGGGCAGGCCATATCACAGGAAGCAGCTGAGAGGGGGGAGGGGCAGGCCATATCACAGGAAGCAGCTGAGAGGGGGGAGGGGCAGGCCATATCACAGGAAGCAGCTGAGAGGGGGGAGGGGCAGGCCATATCACAGGAAGCAGCTGAGAGGGGGGAGGGGCAGGCCATATCACAGGAAGCAGCTGAGAGGGGGGAGGGGCAGGCCATATCACAGGAAGCAGCTGAGAGGGGGGAGGGGCAGGCCATATCACAGGAAGCAGCTGAGAGGGGGGAGGGGCAGGCCATATCACAGGAAGCAGCTGAGAGGGGGGAGGGGCAGGCCATATCACAGGAAGCAGCTGAGAGGGGGGAGGGGCAGGCCATATCACAGGAAGCAGCTGAGAGGGGGGAGGGGCAGGCCATATCACAGGAAGCAGCTGAGAGGGGGGAGGGGCAGGCCATATCACAGGAAGCAGCTGAGAGGGGGGAGGGGCAGGCCATATCACAGGAAGCAGCTGAGAGGGGGGAGGGGCAGGCCATATCACAGGAAGCAGCTGAGAGGGGGGAGGGGCAGGCCATATCACAGGAAGCAGCTGAGAGGGGGGAGGGGCAGGCCATATCACAGGAAGCAGCTGAGGGGTTGGTGCGAGTGCGGAATAGCCTCATCTGGGGCAATGTAGAAATCATCGTTGTGCTCGCTTCCCAGCATGCGCGTGCCTGCAGAAGAGAGAATGAGAGATGGATGGGATGGGTGAATGAGGACCGTTGCGTGCCTGTAGGGGAGGTGGTGGAAAAAGGGATATAGGGGAGGAAAGTTGAGGCTCAGATCATAGGGATATAGGGGAGCGAATGCAGCTGGTCCTGTCTGGAGCAACGTAGAACTCGTCGTTGTGCGCACTGCCCAGCATGCGCGTGCCTGGGGGGTGTGGTGGTGTGGTGGTGCGGGGAGGCAGGGAGGGAAGAAGGTGCTTCAGAGTGAGGAGTGCAGAATGCTGCCCTGAATGCCCCCGAGCGGTTGGTGAGTGTGCGGTGCGGATGGCACCACCTGGGGCAACGTAGAACTCGTCGTTATGCTCACTGACTAGCATGCGCGTGCCTGGGGGGAGTGAGGGGCGAGATTGGGGGGGGGGTGTGAGAGGGGATAAAGGCCAAACACGTGAGTGCGGATGGCACCATCCGGGGCAACATAGAACTCATCGTTATGCTCACTGACTAGCATGCGCGTGCCTGGGGAGTGGGTTGGGGCAGGAGGCGGGGGGGAAGGGGGAAGGGAGCGAGCACGAGAGGGCAAGGAGAAGGAGAAAAGGGGAAAGTGAAGGGGAGGAGTGTGGCCCCATCTGGAGCCACATAGAACTCGTCGTTTGGCTCACTGCCTGGCATGGATGTGTCAGCAATGAGGCATCGGTGTGTGATGGCTTTTGAGTCGACTCAAAAGTGAACTCGTCGTTTCGCTCACTGCCTGGCATGGATGTGTCAGCAATGAGGCATCCCTGTGTGATGGATGGGTGGGTGGTAATCGAAACTGTGCAACTCCCAATGCATCACATCAAACTGTGCAACTCCCAATGCATCACATCAAACTGTGCAACTCCCAATGCATCACATCAAACTGTGCAACTCCCAATGCATCACATCAAACTGTGCAACTCCCAATGCATCACATCAAACTGTGCAACTCCCAATGCATCACATCAAACTGTGCAACTCCCAATGCATCACATCAAACTGTGCAACTCCCAATGCATCACATCAAACTGTGCAACTCCCAATGCATCACATCAAACTGTGCAACTCCCAATGCATCACATCAAACTGTGCAACTCCCAATGCATCACATCAAACTGTGCAACTCCCAATGCATCACATCAAACTGTGCAACTCCCAATGCATCACATCAAACTGTGCAACTCCCAATGCATCACATCAAACTGTGCAACTCCCAATGCATCACATCAAACTGTGCAACTCCCAATGCATCACATCAAACTGTGCAACTCCCAATGCATCACATCAAACTGTGCAACTCCCAATGCATCACATCAAACTGTGCAACTCCCAATGCATCACATCAAACTGTGCAACTCCCAATGCATCACATCAAACTGTGCAACTCCCAATGCATCACATCAAACTGTGCAACTCCCAATGCATCACATCAAACTGTGCAACTCCCAATGCATCACATCAAACTGTGCAACTCCCAATGCATCACATCAAACTGTGCAACTCCCAATGCATCACATCAAACTGTGCAACTCCCAATGCATCACATCAAACTGTGCAACTCCCAATGCATCACATCAAACTGTGCAACTCCCAATGCATCACATCAAACTGTGCAACTCCCAATGCATCACATCAAACTGTGCAACTCCCAATGCATCACATCAAACTGTGCAACTCCCAATGCATCACATCAAACTGTGCAACTCCCAATGCATCACATCACTGCCTCCAATGCTCACATCAAACTGTGCAACTCCCAATGCATCACATCAAACTGTGGCAACTCCCAATGCATCACATCAAACTGTGCAACTCCCAATGCATCACATCAAACTGTGCAACTCCCAATGCATCACATCAACTGTGCAACTCCCAATGCATCACATCAAACTGTGCAACTCCCAATGCATCACATCAAACTGTGCAACTCCCAATGCATCACATCAAACTGTGCAACTCCCAATGCATCACATCAAACTGTGCAACTCCCAATGCATCACATCAAACTGTGCAACTCCCAATGCATCACATCAAACTGTGCAACTCCCAATGCATCACATCAAACTGTGCAACTCCCAATGCATCACATCAAACTGTGCAACTCCCAATGCATCACATCAAACTGTGCAACTCCCAATGCATCACATCAAACTGTGCAACTCCCAATGCATCACATCAAACTGTGCAACTCCCAATGCATCACATCAAACTGTGCAACTCCCAATGCATCACATCAAACTGTGCAACTCCCAATGCATCACATCAAACTGTGCAACTCCCAATGCATCACATCAAACTGTGCAACTCCCAATGCATCACATCAAACTGTGCAACTCCCAATGCATCACATCAAACTGTGCAACTCCCAATGCATCACATCAAACTGTGCAACTCCCAATGCATCACATCAAACTGTGCAACTCCCAATGCATCACATCAAACTGTGCAACTCCCAATGCATCACATCACACGACACGACTCCGAGGCGCAAGAAGGACAAATTAATTATTTGAGAATTCTAAAAAAAACACAGAATCCTTTTCACGCGGCTGGATCATGCACGAATTGTCCCTTTCCGAGGCACACAAAAACCTACCTGAAGCGAGGTTGTTTTTGAGACGTCTCAAAAATCATGCACGAATTGTCCCTTTCCGAGGCACACAAAAACCTACCTGATAAAGAATTTATTAGGCATAGAAGAAGCAGGTCAGGAATCTTGTTTTCGTCCAATCGAGCCCCACTTAGAGGCCATGGGTCGATACGTGGCAGCAATGCCTTGAGGTGACTTTTGAGTCGACTCAAAAGTCACCTTATTAGGCATAGAAGAAGCAGGTGAGGAATCTTGTTTTGTGAAAGCATACCTGAGAAGCCACTCCCGATCTCAAACCCCTTAGTGGCGGGCAGAGACAAGAGCGAGTGACAAGAGTGTATGGAGCACGGGCATCGCCGGGGGGGAATACACACTGAGAACAATCTCAAACCCTTTAGCAGCGCATCACAAGGCATACCTCAGAAGCCACTCCCGATCTCAAACCCCTTGGTGGCGGGCAGAGACAAGAGCGAGTGACAAGAGGGCATGGAGCACGGGCATCGCCGGGGGGGAATACACACTGAGAACAATCTCAAACCCTTTAGCAGCGCATCACAAGGCATACCTGAGAAGCCACTCCCGATCTCAAACCCCTTGGTGGCCGGCAGAGACATGAGCGCCCGTGCTAGCTCGGCCTCTAGCTTGTCAAACACAGGCGAGCCCAGACCCTGGTGGGGAGAAAAAGTGGGAGAGGAAAGGAGGAATGGTTGGAGAAGCGCGGAGAAAGGAAGGGTGAGAGACATGAGCACCCATGCTAGCTCTTGATCCTGCTACCCAAGATGGTAGCACTTCACACTCCTCCATACCCACCCCACTTACACAGCGCTTTAAACAGGGAAGCCCACAGGGGCACAAGCTTTGCTACTCAGGCGGGGGCCGTGGGGGCGAGTGACGGGGGGCGCGGGGGTGAGTGATGACTACGCCTCTTGCCATCAGCTCTAGTTGCTGCTTACCCCCGACCCGATACAGTTTTTCTAGAGCGAAAGCAGCCAGCCACCGCCCACCACCCTTTGAGACGTCTCAAAACACTTCTTGATACTGACGACTACACGGCTAGCCATCAGCTCTAGTTGCTTACCCCCAACCGACCCGACACAGCTTTTCTAGAGTGAAAGCAGCCACCACCACCCTTCTTCTCCACACCCATCTCACCCGAGGGACGTTCCTGGCCACGCACGTGACCACGCCGCCACACGAGTCGCCCTTCACCCTCACAGCGTCAATCGCATCGATCATCCGCTCTGCAATGGCGGCATCGGGGCAACGTACGATGTTCGCCTCAACCTGAGCCAGGGTGGGGAGGGGAGGGGGAGGAGGGGAAAGGGTGGATAGGGGGGGGGGGAGGAGGGGGGGGTGGGTTTCCCTTTCCCCTTCACCCTCACAGCGTCGATCGCATCGATCATCCGCTCTGCAATGACAGCATCGGGGCAACGTACGATGTTGGCCTCCACCTGAAAAGAAGACGAGCATGAGGCGAAGAAGTGGGTGATGAGTTTGCCATACATACATCCTCACAGCATCAATCACTGGCATTGATCATCCCCCCCGCCACTGCCGCATCGGGGCAACGCAGCGCACTATGTTGCTCTCCACCTGAAAGGAGAGGAGAAGGAGGCGAAGGAACGGGAGCAGAGGGCGCACAGTACGATACACATCAGCAGTGCAGTGAGTTGCCCTTCATCCTCACAGCATCAACCATTCGCTCTGCAACTGCCGCACCAGGGCAACGCACTATGTTGCTCTCCACCTGATATGGTGGCAACAGAGAGCGGGAAGGAGCGATGGTGGGTGAGGTGGGGCAGGGGAGGGGGGGTGAGGGACGGGACCCAGGAGAGAGGAGCGCCCTTCACCCTGACAGCATGAAGGGCATCAACCATTTGCTCCGCCACTGCCGCATCAGGGCAATGCACTATGTTGCACTCCACCTGATGGTGGTAACAGTCAGGGAAGAAGCACAGTAGAAGTGAGGAGAAGGGGAACCACAGTAAGATCAACATCAGGGGACAGGGAGGTCCGGAGCTTCACGCTCACAGTCCCACCTGGTCTAGTGCGACTGTATCGAGATTGGTGGCATGCTCTGGCAGGTCAAAAGATAGAGCGTTAAAAAACATTTGCTTGTTTGCTTTGCGGTCATCCTTCCATTATGATCCCACCTGGTCCAGTCCGGTGTGACTGTATCGAGGTTGATAGCGCCCTCCCCTCCTCTGGCAGGTCGACAGATGGGAGTGTCAGAATTTCTTGTTGATTTCACTCACACACACTGTGTAATTCGCATTCGTCTCTTCGTTGTAGTACCACCTACCTACCTGGTCCAGTGTGACTGTATCGAGGTCGATGGCATCCTCTGGCAGATCCACGTGGTGCACTTGAGAAACGAACGCGAGCACCTGGTGAGAGAGAAAGGGGGGGAGGAGGGGGGAGGGGAATCAAGAAGAAGAGGGGGTGGAGGACTTGAAGGAAGAGGTCACTAGCATCCTCTGGCAGGCCAGGTCTACATGGTGCACTTGAGACACAAACAAACGCGAGCACCTGACGAGAGAGAGGGGTAGAGAGGGTGGGGGAGGGGAAGGAAGAGGAGGGGGTTAAGGATTCTAATAGAGAAATAGAGAGCAAGACTCTGGCAGGACTACATGTTGAGTTTGAGACACAAAGGCCAGCGCCTAGCCAGGGCCTAAACACGGATAAGACAAGCCATGCCAGCCAAAAGGTCGAATAAGAACTCACGAACACAGACAACAGCAGCTTACATCGGTGCCTGAGTGGAGGGCCAGAAGCTTCTTGGCAATTGCGCCGGCCGCCACTCGGCCAATAGTTTCACGAGCTGACGACCTGCCTCCGCCCTGAGCGTGTGGGGGAGAAAATGGTATTGTGAGGTTTGGGTTTGGGGGAGAGGGGGAAGGAAGGGGGAGGGAAGAGAAGGCGTGTTTGATGGAAAAACACACTGTGCTCAATAGTTTCGCGAGCTGATGACCGGCCCCCGCCCTGAGTGTGGGGGGGAAGGAAGAGAGGGAGGAGAGGAGCAGTGTGATGGGAAGAGAAGACAGATGTAACGCGCACGCTCAAGTTTTGAGACGTCACGTCTCAAGACTCGGCCAATACTTTCATGAGATGACGACCCGCCTCCTCCCTGATTGTGCAGGGGAGGGTGTTGTGAGGTTTGGAGCGGAGGGAAGTGGGGGTAGAGAGGGGAAAAGTGCAGGGAGTTGAGGAATAACAGTGCACTGCATGCTCATTGGTGGCTCGAGCTGACCTATGTAAAACATGTAGTTCACGGCACAGCGAATCGAGAGATGGGGAGCATTTGGTCGTCTGACTCTTCATCCCTCCCTCCTCCTCCTCACCTGAATGGCTCGCGCGCCGTACTTGAAGTCGTACGTTGCATCGGCGTGGGAAGGGCGGTAAGCACGTTTTGAGATGTCTCAGCATTCATCCTCACCAAATTGGCTTGTTCATCCCTCCTCAGTCTCACCTGAATGGCTCGCACGCCGTACTTAAAGTCGCATGTTGCATCAGCAAGGTGACTTGGGTCTTGTGCGTTGACTCAAAAGTGACGTCTCACTCACCTTCATGCCACCTCCCCCTCATTTGAATGCTCCTCCATCCCTCACTCAGTCTCACCTGAATGGCTCGCACGCCGTACTTAAAGTCGTATGTTGCATCGGCGTGGGAAGGGCGGTAAGCCACTGCAATCTCAGAATAGTCCTGAAAGGGATGGGGGTTGGTGGAAGGGGGATGAGGGATGAGGGGTTGGGGAATGATGACGAGAAATTCATGGGATTTACAGTGTTAAGAGAAACAAGCAAAGTACACCCACCCCTTCCCCCGTTGCTCCTCTCTTCAACACACCCCTTCCCCCTCTCTGCTCCTCTCTTCAACACACTCTTTCCCCCGCTGCTGCTCCTCTCTACCACACACCCCTTCCCCCGCTGCTCCTCACTTCCACTCACTCCCTCCCCCTCTGCTCCTCACTTCCACTCACCCCTCTCCCTCCTTTCATCTCTTCCACTCACCCCTCCCCTCTGGTCTTGGTTTGGCACGAGAACCGCGATTGGCGTTCCAAGCGTCACCCCTGCAGACGATGACCGGGGAAGCGGAGAGGAGAGTGAAGAGAGTGGGGAGAGCGAGGAGGAGAGACAGGAGAGTGAGGAGGGACAAGGGAGTGAAAAGATTTCTGTGAGTGAGGAAAATGAGAAGATTGAGAAGGTGAGAAGAGAGGATAGGATAGAGTAGGGAGAATGAGAAGAGTGAGGGAAGTGAGGAGAGCGAGGAGAGCGAGGAGGGCGAGGAAGAGAGTGAGGAGGGCGAGGAGAGTGAGGAGGGCGAGGAAGAGAGTGAGGAGGGCGAGGAGAGTGAGGAGGGTGAGGAAGAGAGTGAGGAGGGCGAGGGGGAGAGTGAGGGGGGCGAGGGGGAGAGTGAGGAGGGCGAGGAGGAGAGTGAGGGGAACGTGAAAGAGAGTGAGGAGATTGAGGAGAGTGAGAGGAGTAAGGAGAGACAGGAGGAAAGAAAGAACAATAACGACGTACCTTCAGCAGTGCCTGACAGAATCCGGCACGTGTCTGTCTCCTTGCGGGGTGTGGTGATTCGCGACTGGCCCGGCCGACTGCCAGAAGGAGAAGGGAGAGAAGGTGGTGGGGGGGGGGGGGGGGGGGGGGGGGGGGGGGGGGGGGGGGGGGGGGGAGGGGGAGGGGGGAGAGGGGGGAGGGGAGGAAGGGGGGGTCAAGAGAAAGGGGGGGAGAGGTAGGAAACGGAAGGTTTGAGGTGATTTGACAGGCGAATTCAACCGGCACGTGTCTGTCTCCTTGCAAGGGGTGGTGATGCGGGACTGGACTGGCCAACTGGTAGGAGAAGAAGTTAGCGAGAGGTGGGGTAAGCGAAAAGGGGAGAGTTAGGAGACAGCATACAAGACAGAACAAACAAACGAACAGACCACAAAACAAAGAGATTTACCCTCAACGAGAATCCATCCGCAATGCCACGGCCGGGCCAGTCGCGCTTACCACCTGTCCAGATCGACCTAAAGGTTTTTCTCTGTGAGCGGCAGACGTGTTCCCACCCATCAAAACACAGGGACCCCAACAAGGCTTCACTGGAGCATTGTGAAAAGCACATCTCGAAGCCGTTTCGAATTTACATACCGCCGCCAGACCAGGTCGACCCGGAGGTCCTTCTTTTGGAGCGGCAGATCGTGCTTCGAGTGAAAGAAATGAACTCCACACTAACTAAAACTCATCCGCATTGCCACATACCGCCTGTCCAGGTCGACCTAGAGGTCCTTCTCTGTGAGCAAGAGACGTGCTTCGAGTAAAAGGGTACAAAATAAAACTTAACCCTAACTACAACTCATCCGCATTGTCACATACCGCCTGTCCAGGTCGACCTGGAGGTCCTTCTCTGTGAGCGGCAGGCGCGGAGGGCAACCGTCGACGACGCAGCCTACCCCTCCGCCGTGCGACTCGCCAAATGTGGTAACCCGAAATGCGGTGCCGAAAGTGTTACCCGCCGCGCGGACAGCTGGAATTGGCGACAAATCAAGCAGAAACGATCAGAGGGTGAAATTACATTTACTTTGAATTGAGAAGAGAAAAACAGCAAGACGCGTGCGCCAATCAAGAAGCGGGAACAGGAGCACTTTAAAGTCAACAGCCAATAAAAAAGCGGAAGCGGGAGCAAGAATTGGAGCTACGGAATGGAGGATCGCGAGAGACGTTAGAAGAATGGTTCGATAATGTACTCAGATTCCTTCGATTCGGAGTGGTTCGAACCAATCGTTGTCCGGCGTCAAGGCCCGAGCTTTCCCCGAAGAACGCGCCTCGCGAGACGTCATTCCGAGCTGATCCTTTCAAGAACGACCTTCGAGGCGCGCTTGACGGACCGCCGCGAACTAACGGCGCGAGGGCTCTGCTCGTGGTGCACGCAATGGCAGCCTCCATGATTAGGGTTAGCAGCGTTGCTACACGCGGAGCAGAATGTGGATTGCGATAGCAATCTTAACGAGCTTCTGGGGAAAGAGCAGCCCCGGACTAAGCTGGAGGACACACCTAATGCAAGTCCTAAACACCTAATCAATACCTCCAACCGCGTGGAGTAAATGGGAGAGAAAGTAACAGAGCAGAAAGGACGAGTTAAAAGCCAAATATCCGCAATAACAGATTAGGGTGCCTCTAACGAAGAGTTCAGATTATGCACTAAGGCGAAAGAGGCTATGGATATTGTTCATAATTTATGGAGTATTTTTAGGTAAAGAAAGTGTTGTAACAAGTGGGACTCTTGTGTTTCGCCAGTCTTGGCGCTTCAAGACAAAGCCCTGCAAATCAGGGTGCGAGAAAAAAGCTGACGGTCTGCCCACAACATCCAGTCAACAAATTTCGGTGGAATGTCACTGGACTGGACATCACGTTTTAGTCTATCTGTCTGCCGTAGCAAAGATTTCCCCGAAGACAGGAATCGAGCAGGTAACCATAATGCGAAAAACTAGCGCACTGAAGTGTTGCCCACCAGCGAACCATTGCCAAACGCTGCTGACTGGGCGGGCTGACCTAATTTTTCCACTGCCGTTCCACGCCTCCTTCCTGGCAGCGGGAAAATAAGGTCAGCCCGTCCAGTCAGCGGGGGGTTGGGGGGACATTTCGGACGAGGCGTGTGGTGTGGAACGGAAGCGGCGAAATCAGAGAGGGGCAATCTCTCGGTGGCAGGCGACCGGGCAAGCCGCGACGCGAGAGGTAAGGTTGCGTTGCACCGTCTTGGGCAGGGCATCCTTTTTCCCCAATACGTTCCCCTCCACCCCACCCCGCTCTGAACCGCTCCACACCGCCTGAATCAGCCGCATTTCACCCTACTACACCCCACTCCGCTCCACTCCACACCTGCTTGGCAATGCAATCCCTAGATCGTTCCTTGCGTGCTCGGCTAGATCGTTCCTTCTGTGGTCGGCAATCTCGAGGTTTCTCGGATGCCATTGCCAGTCCGCTAAGAGCCAGCAACTCGTAGGGAACCTCTCATCCTAATGTGGCCTGGTCTGGTCACGACGAGCGATGATGCGACTCCACGTAATGAGTACTTATGGCGTTGTCTGGGGTAGTAATCGTCAGTCCGATCAAACATTCGCCTTTCTATCTAGAGCACGGCATCTACCAAGCCAGTTTATCTGTATTTCTCCAGCATACTTGAGCTCCCACAACACAGAAGCCCACAAATATCAAGACAATATTATCTATCAGTTGAACAAAGCAACAATCGTTTTAGGTTATTTGAGTTCACTGAAATATCCATGGCGCAGCGCAACTCTCTGAGCGCCTTCGTTGAGAAGTACGAAGTCAGGGAGGACCTGGGAAAGGGACAGTTCGGCGTCGTTGCGGAATGCGTGGAACGCGCTTCCGGCAGGCGACTCGCCTGCAAGGTGGTTGCGGCGCGTAAGCAAGCAATGGACGCGGCGGGCCGCGAAACGGTGGCGCTTTCGCTGCTCAAGGAGTGTGAAAATATTGTTACTCTCGAGGATGTCTTTATCGGGGAGGAGGGGAAGGGGATGGTGCTTGTAATGGAGCTCGCTACCGGCGGGGATCTTCTAACGCGGATAGAGCAGAAGGGACGGATTCCGGAGCACGAGGCGCGTGAGCTGTTCAAAGGAGTCGCCATGGCTTTAAAGCAGTGCCACTATAACGGGGTCATTCATCGCGACGTCAAGCCCGACAACGTCCTCTTGTTTCCCGCCAAAAATTCCGCCCTAGGGCAAATCCCCTCAGGAAGCGCTTCACCCAACAGCGTGTCTCCCAAGGTAACCCTAAAAAGCGACTTCAGGGGACGCGGTTGCGAATTTATGGCGAAGCTCGCGGATTTCGGCATCGCGAGGGTGCTTGCTCCGGGGGAGAAGACCAACGGTTACGCGGGAAGCTTCCCTTACGAGGCTCCTGAGGTCATGGCGGGAAAACCGTATGATTTCTCGGCTGACATATGGAGCCTTGGTGTCACCCTCTATGCGATGCTTTCGGGAAAATGGCCGACTTTCGCGAACGGTCGCCGCGCGTTTGACGAAACCAAGGACTGGGACTCCCCCTGCTGGTGGATCATCTCAGGCCGAGCGAGGAATCTCATCCGTTCGATGCTCGCAACCGACCCGCAAATCCGACCGTCCATTGACGAGGTTCTGAGCGACCCTTGGATTTGCAACAGCTCTTTCCTTCCATCCTCGTTCTCCATCTCTTCTTCTGCTGTGGGTACCGCCAAGCCTGCTTCCTCACCTGTACTACAGCCTGCTGCCTCCACCGTCCCACCTGCTGCCTTCACCGTCCCAACAGCCCCTGCTTGCACTGCCACCCCTGTAGCTGCCTTTACCATCAAGCCTGCAGCTGCTGATACCGTCACACCCACTGCACCACCTAAGACCCGCCAGCCAGCCACTTGCGACCCGTCATCTACCTTCATCTTCCCACTTGCAACGCTCACGATCAAAACCACGTACAGGACCACGTGCAGCACGGTCAAAACCTGTAGGAAGCTCGCTTCCGATGTGCTGCAGCGGAAGCAGTGGCGTCGGCACGGCGCGGTTACCAGCAAGCTCTCCCCATGTGCCAGCAAGCTCTCTCCGTGCAACAGCTCTCTGTCGCGGCGTCACAGCAGCAGGTCGCAGCGAGGTTCCTTCTCTGCTGCTTCAGGGAGGCTGAGTGCGAGGGTTGCTGCTGTGGCAGTTGCTGCAGTGGGAGAGGCCTCTGCTGATGGGACAGACGTTCAGTGGTCCTTATAGAGTGTGTAAAAGGAGTCTCAAATGGTCTTCCTTCCAGCCAACTTCAGGGAGACTCAGTAGCTGGGTTGATACAGTAAGAGGGACCGCAGCTGATTATGGTGTGAGAGTGCCATGACCTGCACTTATGCAAAGGTGTATCTCTATGCAGTGTGACATGGAAGGGACAGGTTACTGGTAATGGTATATTGTGGGAAGTTGGGTAATTGGGGTCATGGCAGCCGAAAGTGAGCTTTAACTAGGTTCGCACTTCAAAGGCGCCTAAAGAACACTGTTGAGGTGTTAACACCCGTCGGTGTTCTTTCTGCGCCTCTGAATGTTTATCAACTTCTGAGCTTGCTTGCGTTATGAATTTGTAACTGTATGGTGTAGAGGTACTCTATACACAATATCAGCAGATTTCTTCTTCTACCTGGGCAACAAGATAGATATATTTAGAAAGCTTGCTTTCTTGTTGTAGCAATGGCATCCTCTCATTTCAAATGGGTTAGTACAAACAAGTCCAAGCTAGCATAGGATAATTTTCGTAGCACAATTAACTATTATTCACTATCATAGGGGCTGGGTGTGTGGGAAACTTGACTAAACCGTTTGAAAAATGAGAGACGTGGGTGGAGGGAAATGACCTCCAGCCCACGTTCTGTGTTACGAATAGTAATATCCGATATTACTAAGCACTCCTCACCGTAGCAAGGAGCGGACAATATCGGGGAACGAACGCAAGCGTCAGACGGTTGGAATTGAGTCAAAGAGTCGGACGGTTACAGCACATCTGAACCGTCGGAAGCAAACGGCATCGGACAGCTGCAGGCAGGAAGGTTTTTGCAGGAACAGTTACGAAACCGTACGCACCGAACGGTTGGGATGCATTTGAATAAGGGAATGCCCCTTAGAGTACATGGCTAGTTAGGTCGTTTCGAATTTCCTTGTACTCATATTTATATCGTTGTATTTGCATGTTTTTATTATCTCAAGCATCTTACATTCACTCTGCTATTGAGGTCAAG